TAACAACGCTTATTCTAAGACTTTGTTCGATTAGGTATCCCATTATAAATTCCCTTTTCGATTTTGGACATTCAAAAACACACAACGCATTAGGGCGGCGAATAAAGCGCGTTTTGGCCAATAACAATAACAACAACAACAATACTGACATATTCAGGTTAAAGAGATGCGACTTAAGCCCACTTTTGATCTCATTTGCTTTGCAAAGAGCAGCAGCAACAACAACAATAGCAATAACAACATGAATAACAACAACTACAGTTAGCATTCTGATTCACTTTCATGCGCAGCGCGATCGTTGATTCTGATTGTGATTCCGAGCTAAGCGGCCCAAAGCCAAAAGACGCACAAGCAAATAAAAACCACGACCAATATTCACACACACATACACACACACACACGCACAGAACGAAATGCAACAACAACAACAGCAATAACAACAATTACAACAAAGCTGAGAATGAGATTTTATTTGCTTTGCCAACGCTGTGAATATTTAATTTGCACACACACACATACACACACATAGAGACATACACGAAGAGCTTTAACGACACTGCTGACCCACTTTTCGAGCAGAGGCAGCTTAAAAGCTGACTGCAGAGAGCCATACACAACGCTAATAAGAACAGCAATGCCGCCATTACGAATACAAATACACACACACACACCAACACACACGGAGAACAGCGCCAAAACGCGTTCGTTGTTGTTGCGTGCGTGCCGAGGAAAGATACTCACTAATTAACTCAACGAACAGTCAACCAAAAGAATCAAGCAACTCATTTGCAAATTGTGTCTGTGCGAGCGAGAGGCAGACTCACAAGCTGAGTGGGAGACAGCAAGAACAAGAGACAGACAGAGAGAGTGAAAGACAGAGAGACAGAGAGAGAGAGAGATAGAGAGAGAGAGAAAGAGCGTAGATCGTAAGACTTTGGTGAAAGGGCATGCAACAGCGTAGAGGTAACACCCATATAAATTATGGTTAGGAAACCCCAAAAAGTTGGCCAAAAAAATACAATGACATCATTTCATCAATTTCGTTAGTAGGTCAGTTAGCTGGGAATCTGAGCTGAGCACGCATGCTAAAAGAATTGATTACATATATTTTTACATATTACATGCACATTCTTCTTGAAGTCGAAACTCAAAAAACTGTTCATTATAGACATATACATATAAATATATTTAGCAGTATAAAGAAGATAACTTCAGTTGATTTCTGTATTCTGATGTAAGAAATGAAAAAGAATGAATAGATTCAAAATTCAAAACGTTTAATTTTTAAGCTCAGTTGCGCATATAATTTATGTTTATTTTATTTCTGTATTCTTGCGTAATAAGTGAATAAGGATGAATTGATTAAAAACTCAAATTATTAGTTTTTAAGTTCCCTGTTCACTTGAGTATATTTATCTATGTCTTCTGAAGTTATAAATGTATAAAACTTTTGAAATTTTTTTATGTTTCCCTCAACAAAATCGCAATTAAAAGTGCTTTGTTTTCTGTCTTAAATACATAATCATACATATCATATAATTTAAAATAATTCACGGTTTATTAAAAAAACGAAAACAGTTCTCATGTTCTCATTTTTTTAGTGCGTTTATTTAAATATATATAAACAAGGACCACTTATTTTTTTGTGCTGATTTTCCAATATATATTTCCCCCACCGAACAGTGTACTAGACTTCAAAGCACTTTCTTTTTACACGTCCAGCTTCATCAGGAGGAGGAGGGAGTCATTGGTGATCTGGGCAGATCAGACAGGATTCCACAAGAGACCTTTGAAGGGGCCTTTAGACTTTGAAGCAAAATACCACTTTCTATATATTTCTTCTAGTGCGAATCCATTATTAGTAATCATAATAATACCAACATATGGCATACATCAATCATACATATAAATCATTCTAGGAGTTGTGTATATATACAGTCAGTCTTTAATACCCATTCTAAATCGTAAGTTATTTATTATACAGACATTAGTGCACTTGACGAATCAATCGGTAAATCCCGGCGCAACTGTAGCCTATGTTTTAAGTAAGTATTATTCTTCGTCTCTTTTCTCGGATCGTATCACATACACTAGCAGAAATATGTGTGTGTTTTGTGTGTGCGTACTTGTGTGTGCATATGTGTGCATATATATGTATCTGCCTCATTTATTGTTCAACACTGTTAAGTAACCATCATCATCCAAGTTTTGTTTATGTCCGCTGCTTTGGCCCAAATTCTTTAAAGCTGACAGCAACCAACCAAGAACCACAGAGAAGAAACAAGGGAGGGGGCTTATTCAATTCCCGTTCCATTCCCATTCGTGTTCCTGCTGTGCGAGTGCGAGTGCGATGGACAAATGCTGCGGTTCTTGTTCGTTTCAGTTTCAGTTGTTTGTACGTAGGGTAATCATTGTCATGCAGGCGATTCTGTTTCATTAGTGTGTTTCGTACCCACGCTTCTCTGCCTTGTTTTCTTCCACTTATGCCCGCTGTTTCCCCTTCTTCTTCTGCATCGCCTGACGATGATTCCACTTGATAGCAATCGTAATGAGCTTTAAGTTGAACGTTAGCGTTCTGCCCGCCTGATCGTCATCATCATAATCGTGATTTTCTCGCAAGATGCAGATGCTGGCACCATCGTCATCATCATTTGTTGGTCACGCTGCGGTTTTTTTATACCCCCCTCCCTCCTTCCTCCAGCGTACAAACTTACTTTTTAACTTCTTTCTTTGTTTCTTTCTTTCCTTCTTTCGTTTTCATTGTTTTTGCTTGCTTAACCAATATTTTGCCGCTCGATAATGAAAGGAAAGCAAAACAGACGGAGTCGTCGAGTGCCCCAAAAAAAAGAAGAAATAACAAGAAAACTTTATAATCATCAAGAGTGAATCTGCTTGGGCCTCGACTCGACATGGCTCGACTTGACTCGACTCGCCTCCAATCTGGTGAAATGCTTGATGTTGGTGTTCTTCGCCAGCTCCTCCTCCTCCTCCCATCCTCATCCACTGCTGTGCCCACAGGCAAAAGCAACAAATTTGGTACTTGTTTTTGGCTTTCATTATATTACGGTGGATTTCATAATATTTGCACTGTATCGTTTTGTATGTTTGAGTGCGAGTCTTTCTTTCTCTCTTACAGGTGTGCAACCCACATTTACAAGCCAAAAAGGCCTGAGAAAATTCTTAAATGGTTAATGAATGATGCGACGAGCATTTCCTGGAACCGACCTCATAATGATCATTGATCACAACAAGCGCGAATTATTACCCGAAACTTCGTTTGGTTAATTATAATCAGCCTAAAGCTTTGCTAGAGCTTTCGCATCGCCCTAAAGTAGGCAATAGAAGGTCGCTTCAAGTCATATACAGTTATGCATATATACTAAATGATAGAGGCAGATTTATGTAGCAAAATAATGACATGAATTCATTTATTTCATAAATTTCGCTTCAATTAACTACAGACAGAAAAAAATATACCTTTATTTAATAAATATTAAAATATATAATATATTCTAGGCTTATAATTCATTACAAATTATTACAATTATTAATGTATTATTTTAATTTTAATTATAATTTTAAAGTCTGCGAGCAACTACATTAGACAAGTATATATATATATATATTTTTTTATAGAGTCTAGGTACAAGGTATTTCCTCTTCGAGAATATATATATATATATATAATAATTTAATAATTGTTGATTACAGTCTATCTACAAAGTATTTCCTATTCGATCACTCTCGATTAGAATATTTATGTTTTTTGTCACTTAACCATATTTATTACGACAGTTTTTTTCATGTGCTTGGGTGACAATGATTCGAGTATTTATTTGACTGCCTGTCTAATTTATAGAATACTGAATATACAAAACAAGCCATCGAATATTCCATTAATGATAATTACACGAAAAACAACAACAAAAAACACAAGGAAGCCATAATACAAACACAACGACAATCATCGTTCAAGCTGCTTGCTCTAGTCTATTCCAATTCACTTGATAAGTGCGTTGGGTGGGGGATGGGGAATTGGGGATGGGGAAAGGGCGTGTAGTCTGCCTGGGTGTAGTCTGCCTGGAAGCTACCAGTTGCTGCTCCTCAATTCAATTACGCAATTGATTCACTTATAGTTTGCTGCTAACTACAAAGTTACAAACCAAATATTACAGCATATTGCAAACGGAAATAGAGAAAGAGAGGGCGGGAGGCGGGCACGAGGTCGCTTGCCATTAGCCTAGTTAAGGTGTGTTTGTTCTAGTTGTTGTAGACGCCGTTTATCGACAGCGACGTCATCGTCATCGTCCACATGCGAGCCCCTCAATTTCACGATTTAAAAACGTGCAATGGCCGCTCTCTCTCTCTCTCTTTCTCTCTCTCTGCTATCTAAGCGAATGGAGCTGTACTGTGGAATATGTGCTCGATAGTGAGGAACAGCCAAAGTCCATGTAATATGTATATAGCTACTGATTCAAATATTCGAAATAAAAGAAATATGAAATAAAATAAAAATATATTATTAAAATCACTTGAAATAAATTTTATGCTAAATCTTGCCTGCTATATTATTTCTAATAATTTTCTAAAATGTATAAATAATAACCCAAAAAATAAAAATCCTCAAATTAAATGCAATTATATACATACAAAATTGCATATACTACAATGTTTAAATAATAACACAAAAATGAATAAGCTTTCTGAAAATCACTTAGATTAAGTACACCTCAATATTAATAAAAAAAAAAATTAACTTTTGGTCCCAAAGTATCGAAATAATTGCGCGCTCGAACAGCTCTTGCACTGTTTAGTTGAGTCAGCACGGAGAGTAAAACTCGACAGTCAACAACAGCTGGCGCTCTCTCTCTCTCTATATATATATATTTCGCTCTCTCTCTCTCTCTGTTTCTGTCGGTCTGTCACTCTCTCACTCGCTGCCATCGTCGCGTGTTTTGGAAGCAACAATTCATTTTCAAATGGTTCGCCGACAGTTTTGGTTGGAGCTGCGCAATTGTTAGCTTCCAATCGGATCGCAAAATTTTAACAACGGAAACCGAATTAATTCCAAGTGTCAAAAATCCTACTGCTTATCTGCCGGACGTACAAATTAGCATAGGCCACGAGGCATGGAACGTATATTGAGAGGAGTTATGCGCTATCGCAACACAACGCGAGAGCAAATGGTCAAAGAATTTCAGAAAGTGCGAGACAATCCCGAGGTGAGTACCAGTTGCAATTGGGGAAGGTCAAATCACAGTAAATCACGTGCATTTATTAATTTTGTATGCCAGTATTATTTTAACAGTGGCATACACAGTTTCGATATACATATATATATTTTTGTTGGCGTGCTTGTCTTTCGATTATGAGTTGTTGCTGTTTTTGTCAGTCGCGGTCATAATCACACTTTATAATGACTTTTCGAACCAGACTGCGACCCAGACAATTCGAGAGCCACAGCTCGCAGCTTAGTCAGCTTCACTCACTCTCTCTCTCGAAATATTTCATTTGAAAGGCATTTCAGAAATGCCCCCCTGAAGAGAGGTTAAGGCTCTTTTAGAGTTTGCTCTCTTGCACTCATGCTTGATTTTGTTGTTATCTGAATTTGGTAAACAAACAACAAAGGCTAACCGGTCGAGTTTACCTAAGTGCAAAATTGATGTTAAATTTTCGTTTTAGTGATTCTTATACACCTCACCAGGTTAAGTTAAGCTTTTAATATTCAGCAAGCTATTGCTAATTACAAATTTTGGATGGAATTTTTAAACACAGGCCTACTGCACTTATTAGCATAAAGTAGTCAATAGTGATTTTAGAAATTTGCCTTACTTTTGGCATCAATGCTTCCAAACCTTATTATTCTAGAAGTCGATTTCTAAAATCGAAGGTTGGAGCTTTCTAAAAGACACGGTTTGTGTTTCTTAATTTCAGTGTTGATTTTTTTAAAATGTGGAGCAAATATTTTTCTATTTGTGTACATTGAAGAGTTATTATAATATTAAATTTCATTACTTGTTTCTGAATTTTAGAATGGAATTTTTTTCTAAAAACAAGGGCTTGCTTTTATACTATTTAGAAATATATTTCTGAAGGATATAAAGAACACCATAGTTTTGTGATTGTAGATTTTGGGAGTCTTCTTGGTTCTTATTTTCAGAAAATATTTCTAGAAACAAAAACTTTTTAATTTATGAGACGGTGTTCATTTAATGATTCTTTTTTCTTTTGAGTGTACATATATGTATATTTGTGTAGAAAATTAAATTACTCTTTGCTAATGAACTTTATACACACAATGACTACACAATGACTATGCTGACAATGTTTTTGTACGACCATGAACCTATTTGGATTGATTTTTGACTCAGTTCATCATTTGCCATTCACTTTGGCACTTTGGCTGTCTTCCAAGTGTGCCATAACTTTGACCACAAACTTTAAAACTAAATATAACCGTGTACTCTTCTTATGTTGAGCAAGTATCTATCTAATCTAATATTAGAACAATTTCCCCTTATCAGCCGAAGGCCGTATTTTTTACCTGCATGGACAGTCGCATGATACCAACAAGATATACGGACACCCACGTCGGCGATATGTTTGTTGGTGAGTAAAAATACACAATATCAACATATTAAATATATGTGAGATTTAAACACATGTTCTGGTTGCCACGATTAGTGCGAAATGCGGGAAATCTGATACCACATGCCCACCACTTTCATGACGAATACTTCAGCTGCGAGCCGGCCGCATTGGAGTTGGGCTGTGTCGTGAATGACATCAGGCATATTATTGTTTGTGGTCACAGCGATTGCAAGGCAATGAATCTTCTATATCAGTTGCGTGATCCCGAATTTGCATCCAAGGTGAGTTGGCTTAAAACGCGACGAAAATCAACCAATTCATTTCGGCTCTGATTTCAGCTAAATCGCCGACTGTCGCCGCTGCGCTCCTGGCTTTGTACACATGCCAACACCAGTTTGGATCGGTTCCAGGAGTGGCGGGATGCGGGCATGAAGGATGCGCTTGTGTTCTCATCGGAGACGCCGCTGCGTCGCTTTGTCGCCTACATCGATCAGGACGACAAGTTTGCCATTGAGGATAAGCTGTCGCAGATCAACACGCTGCAACAAATGTCCAATGTTGCATCATATGGCTTCCTCAAGTCACGCCTCGAATCGCACAATCTGCACATCCACGCCCTGTGGTTCGACATCTACACGGGTGACATCTACTACTTTAGTCGCGGAGCGAAGCGCTTCATTGCCGTAGACGAGTCCAGCGTTGAGCAGCTGTCCGCGGAGGTGAGGCGGTTCTACTCCTAGACAGAGTAATGCTTACTTTGCGTGCCTTGGATTTTATGTGTCTGTGATAGTCGTCGTCTGAGAAGTGGCATTTATATATATATATATATAAATATATATACGTATATATATTTGAATATGTCTTATTGTTTAGCATTTTGTATTTATAAATGTTTGTTCTTTTTTTATAACATATTGTATGTGTTTCTTGTATATAAACTTAAGGTCTAGTGGTTTAAACTTTAAAGCATTACTCTTACAAATGTAGGAAAAATCAACGCTCATTCTCGCTCTCGTTCGAAATACGGCGGTGATGATGCTGGGCTATATATATATATAATAGGGGAAGCAATAATAATAATAAGAAATATGCGGCACGCGGGCCGCTTCGATGTGCGACAACGTGTGTGCTTCTCGTAACGGAAAACAATCAGTAACAGAAACGATGAAAAACTTGAAACTTAACGTTGGAGCAGTTTGGAGTGTCCATCAGTGGTACTTGTGATTGTGATGGTTCATGGCAATGTTATTCGGATTCTCCAGCTCTTCAAAAAACTTGCGCGCATTCCGTATGTTGACCAGCGTTGCTTCCGATGGCAGCGTGGGATCTGACATGACAACCAGCACGTATGTGTTGCTGGTGAATGTGTCGATGAAGGCGGCAAAGGCATTGTTGCGCACCTCCATCGATTGGAATTTGGCGCCCAGCTTGGAGCAGCTCAGCTTGAATTGTTTGATGATGTTCGAGACCTTTTCGAAGCGATGCGAGTCGCGATTCTTTTTGCTCCGACAATGCGAAATGACCAAAAACGTGGCCTTCTCAAAAAGCAGCACCTCATCCGCATCGATCACATTGGCGAAGTGCGTCAGCGAGTTCTCCAACGCGGCCACATTCGGAATCAGCATGGTCACAATCGAGGACCAGGCTCTGTGCGTGGGAGTACAAAGGTTAATTCAAGGCTAGAACCCTATTAAAAAGATTACTCACTTGTACAGCGTTTCATCCCAGATGCTTGTGCGAAAGCAGGTCACACTGCCGGGCATGGACAGGCGGATGAGATCACCTGCGCGCTCCTTGAAGATATTCTCGCGCTGCTCCTCGGCCAGCAAATCCATTTTGTGCACCAGACAGAAGATCTTCGCTTCCGGTGAGTTCTGCAGCAGGGCCTCGAGACAACTTTGATAGTAGTGGACGTCGCGCTCCATTTCCTGGCTCTCCACATCGAACACATATATGAGCACCTCGACATTGCGAAATATGTTGTCGCGCTGCTGCGTAAAATATTGATTCATGAAACTCTCCTGGCCGCCACAGTCCCACAGATTGAGCACCAGATTGCCAAGGAAACGCACATGCGAATGCTCCACATCAACTAAAACGGGAAAACTGATTAGCAGTCTCACAGCGACAATGATAATGAAAAAGCTGATTACTTGTTGCGCCCAGGCGTGTCGTATCTCTGGCAATATAGTTGGCAAAAATAATGGAACGCATACTCGTCTTGCCCGAGCCGCTTTTGCCCATCAGCAGTACCTGCGGAGCGTAGAAAAAAATTTGCATATCAGCTTGCAAGTTATTCGCGCTGCACTTGGCAATTATTTACCTTTTTCTTCATTTTATTGCGATTTTGGATTTGTTTTGTTAATAAAAAGGCTGGCTCCAATCGGAATAAAATGTTAATAGTATTTATCGGCCATCGGACGAGAAGCCATCGATACACTGTGGCGGTTCGTCGATTTCGTTACAACAATTATCAGCAACTATCGCTAACTATCGAACTAACTATTGCGTGTTGGAAAACACTTACTAATTGCAACGTGTACAAAAGCTGTTTGCGATGTGAGCGTTTTAATTAATTCATGTGCGGAATCAATCGCATTCGAACTACTACTTCTATATTCGAAGTACTGTACAATAATCCAATGGCATAGTTTCCTTGATTTTTTCCGCTTCTCAGTTGCCAACTTGCCTTCTCGGTTTCGGGCAGAATAATTCCTAATCCCTTGGCTGCCTCCTCTGCTAATTCCAGATTTATCACTTGATTCGTCAAAATAATTTATTAATTTGCCATGTCTTCAAAAGCTGCGTACTATAGTTTTATTCAATCCATAATATATGTTATCATTAAATAGGTATTTATAATGAACATAAACAAAGGAAAACACATTTTAAAAAGGCAATAGTTGTTTTTTACATTGCATGCAGGTAAAAACATTTCTATTGAAATAAACATATTATATACAACATTTTAATAAATATAAATTAATTTATCATTATCTGCTTATTTTGAAGTATTTTATTTCGTACACAACTATATTTTATATTCTAAATATAATGCTTTATAACTTCCAATGCTGACTGGTTAAAAAAATATATTTAACGCTGAAATCTTTAGAAAATCCCATTCAAATTCATATATTTGCGTACAAAATAAAATACGAAAAAATAAGCAGATAACGATTAAAAGTTATTTTCAATGTATGGTATACTGTTTGAATGAATCACATTTAAATAGAATTATCACATTCATCTTTCCACAAGTTCTTTAACCATTTTACATTCCTAATCTGTACTTTTTAAGTTGACCTTCTTTCTTTTTCTTTTCAATTGCATATACCATTTTATTTATTAAGTGTTTTATCAATAACACCTTTCCTGCTGTTGCCTTAAGCGGGTATTTCCTCTAAAAGGTACTAGATCATTGTAAGGTTCTTTTTTTTGCGGAAATGAGCATTGTGAACAGGGAGGGCTTAAAAAAGCGTGAGAAGAGAACAACAATATTGAAAACCAGGTGCCGTGTCCACAGCGTGTTTACAGTTAACACACACTATTATGAGTGTGTGTGTACAATTTTATTGGGAACTCAAGAAACCCAAGCAGCAGCCCAAAAAAAGAAGCGAAAAAAAAAAAAACAAAAGTGATAAAAAACCGGCTTAAAAGAGAGAATGGCCGCACCTCATTGACTGAGTGTTTGAGTGAGCCCCACTTGCACTAAACTGAAACTGCCACAGCTCGAAACTAAGCCCAACATATGTGACAAAACGAACAGTTGCTGAACTAAAATCGAATTGAACGGTCGCATAAGCTTGGGCTTGGCATTCAGTGAAGGCAACGACTGTTTCGATTCTTAAAGTGCATTGAAGGTCGCTTTAAATCGATTAAACTTAACGCAATAAACACCTTGTGTGTAGTGCAAAATATAATAAACATATATGGAAAATATTAAATATATGTAGCTGAAAAATAAATATTATTAAATAATTATGTTTAAATTTATTACGGCCCTTTGCGTTTTGACCGTGCTCAGCTTTAGCCTGGCTGAGAAAAGTGACCGTGAAAAGCGTCAGGCTGAAAAGGTTTCAGATACTTGTAAAATTGTTATCATTTGGCATTCTAATATTGACTTGATCTTTATCTTTACCCTTAGCTGCACATAACGCTGCTCTATGAGTCGCTCTGCCCCGATAGCCGAAAGTTTATGCATCAATTGGGCCCTGTTCACGCCGAGCTGGAGCCCTACATCAATATTGAGCTGGTGCCATTTGGCAAATCATTGGTAATTGGTAGTTAGTGAAAGTGTACACTCAGAAAACAAAAATAGACCTGAATTTCATTTCGTCACTCTCTTGGCGCCATGGCTGACTCACCTTATTATTGAGAAAGTATACTTCGAAAAAATCCGGGTTTTTCTACTCTTAATTTCCGGGAACAATTTTCTAAAATGTAGAACAGATATGTCCAATTATCAGGGTGTATTTTCATAAAAAATCGTACGAGATCTGAGCTACTCTAAGACAGGCGACAGAAAATAAATTTCATTACTTGCTTCTGAATTTAAAAATTATTTTTTCTAAGAATCACGGTTTGCATTCCAAATTTTTAGAAATGCATCTTCTAAAAAGTGAAAATAAACAACAGATTATTGGTATTGTTTATTTGGGACAAGCCTTTCTAATGCGTAGAAATTTCTTTCTTAAATTTAGAAATTATTTCTAAAAATAAGAAATAACTTTCAGTTCGATTTTTATTTTAGGGCGATATTTTAAAATTGAGGAATATTATTCTTCGCAGTTTAAGAAACACACAATTTGGCCATCACTTTCCCTCTCTTTCCCTCTCTCTCTCTCTCTCTCTCTCTGCATGTAGTCTCAGCAAAATGGAGCCATTTTTCACTGCCAGCATGGACCAGCGGAGTGCGAGGGAAATCGCTTGCAGAGCTGCGTCTGTAGCAGCACCCAAAATCAGGCAGCACAGGTGAAATTCGTTGTATGCCAAATGTTTGCACCAAATCATGCAAATGCGGACAAGGTGCGTATTGAAAGCACACAATTTACTTAACCACTTAAGCGCAAACTGAGCAAAACTGCGATATTCGAAATTTTAGTGCGCCAACGAAGCGGGTATTTTAACGGAGGTGGAGTACTGCATGAAGACTCCGGCGGGCACCAAGCTGCAACTCGATGCAGAGCTCATCACGAAACGTTATAGTCCCAGCTTTGTGCCCACCATTGTCTACAATCACGTAAGTAATCGCAACGCTAAGTGCTAATACCGCTTCTTTAACAACCAACTGGTTTTCATTATGGACTACGCACTGACCGGCAACAACAACGACAACAACAACAACGGCAACAGGTATTCAATCAGCAGCTGCAGGACCAGTCGCTGCGCAATTTCCGGGCCACAGTTTGCTATTTGCTGCGACAACAAATCACGCTGCCCGCCACAGTTTGCCAATAAAATGTGATGCATGTAATTACTACCAGAAAAGTGGAGCAAATAAATGTTGCAGATTGTAATGAATCAACAAAAAATATATGATAAATATTTACTTGTCGAGGGCATTGTTATTTTGATATGAATTGTGCAACGTACTGAAATGGTGATGTCTGCCACCACAATAATTATAGCTGTAATCAAGCTGAAATCTCTTTCAGCCTGTTATTGTATAACCTTCTTTTTAATGCATGCTGAACAATAAACAATACAATACAACACAGCATAAATATTTTAAAAGATACCCTGCAAATTTTTTGATAATTATAGTCTGTTTGGGCTGCTTATTTTGTGGTATAACCTGGACAAATCTGGGGAAAACGAGTTCTTGGTGTTTATTTTTTTTTCTTAGGTATTTCAATTATTAATTTTTCTTTTTAACGTAAATATCTTAAAAGATACACTGCACAGATTCAAGAATGTACAATCCTATTTGTCCACCTACCTTTTGATTTATTGCTAGGAAAAAGTCCATGTTAATTAATATATTTTTTTAGATGTTTTAATTTTTGACTTTCTTTTTTAAATTTTTGATGCAAGCTTTGCATCTTGACATATATGCTTCTGTAGTAGATGCTACTTTTATTTAAATTTTTAAGCATTGAATTATTGGGCTGCTTACATAGTGTGCTAAATTGTGGTGGAAAATATTTTGTTAAAATGTCAGCAAGTGGACACTCTTGTGCAAGCGTATGCCGTCTTCGGCATGCTGAATTCATTGCAATTCTTTCGTGTTATGCATTTAAATGAACTAAACATTAGACTATTATTTATTTCCACTGACGAAATCTCAGCTGAGAGTACAACAATTAAGTTGAATTTAGTTTCGTGTCTTGATTAACAAATAAGATAGAAAGTACTTAACTTGGTAATACCGTATACCCTGGTCTTATGTACATGTCACATATTAACAATGGTTACGTTGGGAATTTTTAAGTATTACAGTCTTCCTGATCGCATCTTTTATTTTTTTATTTAGATCGAAACACATGCATTCCTAGATCGACCCGCCAATTGTATTACTAAGGCATTGATAAAGCTCAAACAAACCAAACGTTGCGTGACAAAAGCTATATTAAATAATACATATGTATTTAGAGTCAGCATAAAATAATAAAACTAGCTTTGCCTTTAAATTGCCGCGCTAATTGAATTAAGTGCATCAGATAGTTCGAAACTTTTATGATTAATGCTTCAATCCAAACGCGCAAAGTGCGAATCTTTGTCTAACATTAAGAAAATTATTAATAGTGAATAAGAACTAATGTGGAAAATAGACTGATAACTTTTTGAAGCAAGATATTTTGTAATTGTGTTTTAAAAAGATCATCTGTAGAAATTTTCATTCATTCTCTAATGAAACGAAGAATAGAAAAATAATAAATAAACATTATTGGGGATATTTCCGACTACTTTGTTGACTGGACTTCGACGATGGCAAGCGCTTGGTAATAAGATATGAGAAATATGCATTTCATAAATGAGAATAAGTTGTCAGTTTGAGTTTTAGCAATCAGTTTTATTGTAATAAGACAGGTCTCCAATCAAATCTCTTATACATATGCTAGAATCCCAAATAATAAGCACAAATATAAATGTTCGTTACTTTAGTTGCATATATTTCATAATAATAATTTATATAGGTAGGTAAGATACAATTCATGGATTAGAAATAGTACATGCAGTGCTTGGGGCGCCTTATTTATTTACAGAGCATATCATATAGATTCATTTCAGGGGAAGTGCAGAAGAGCCCGATGAAATAAAGAAAAAAACAAATCCATCTGAAATCTGGGAGCTTAACACGAAAAAAATAATAATATGCAGACATATGTAGATATATATATATAGTATAATGATTTGCGCCAAAAAAGCAACATTTATCGCAATAATATCGTTAGGTTATTTTCTTTGTATGATGAACCGACAACAAATGACTTATGGGCTAAACAACTTAAACAACAAGCCTACAGCTACGACTACGATAAGTGATTAAATTTCTTGCACATTTTGTGTTGAATTATTTGTTGTTTTGTGTGTGTTTTGCTGATGGGTGCGTAGAAATAACAAAGTGGGGGCCACGTTTTTAAAGCATACTTTCGGGCGGGCGGGACTTGCATCAGACCGGCGTCCCCGTGCCAGCTGCCTGGCTCAGGCTGAGCGAGCGACGCGGCGCCGGCTTGGGCGGTAGCTGCGGCTTGATGGTCGCTGCCACAACGGCCACAGCGTTGGCCTGGACGCGCTCTTTCTCCTGGAACTCGACGTAGCCGCTCTCATCGCTGCACTCGGAGTCATCGTCCGAAACGCTGCCTACATCGGCCGGCTCCTTGGCATCGGAAATGGACTCGGCGGGTGTTGAGGAGGCGGAGGAGGAGTTCAGCTTGAGAGTGATGCTGCTGGAGCTGCTATAGTTGGTGGCGTCGCTATTGTGACGCAACTGCTGCCGTCGCTTCGACTCCTCCAGTCTTTGGTAAATCAACATCGACTCGAGCATCTGCTGCTGCACATTGCTGCCTTGCGGCTTATTGTACTCCTCCTGGTTGGCATTGGTCACAGTGCTGGCCGTTTCGCAACCACTGGAAATGGAGCCCTCATCGCTGTCGGGGTGGGCCAAACCCGGCTGACCGCTAGCGGCGCCCATTTGCGCAATGCCGCTGGCCGTCGTCGAACTGGAGGTATTCGACGAGATGGATGATTGGGGCTGGTGACGATACTGTAGGCTGGCATGGTTGCTGTTCCGTTTGCGCATCGAGCTGCGATGCAGCATCGTTAGCATCGCTGCCTGCCGAAAGTAATGATCATCCGCATCGTCTAGATAATCCTCCTCGCCGTCGCTGCAGACACCGTTGCGCCGCAGATGCACTGCATCCTCGCTGTCAAAATCTGCCTGCGGATCGGCACTGGGATCACTGTTGATAGTGGGCAGCAAGCTGAGCGGTTCCTCATCATCCTCAACATCGTCATTATCAGCGACCGCCACGTTCTCCTCCACTGCATCCACCTGCAGCTCGCTGAGACTGCCCAGGCTCTGGCTGCTGTTCTTGTGTAGCTGCATATCAAAGTACGGCAGCAACTCATTGCTCAACGTCGTATCGAACTTGAGCAGTTTCTCGAACTCATCCGAATCGGAGCCATCATTGCCACAGACGGGAGTTGGGCATGCCCCAGCGATGTTTGTCACCGTCTCCGGCTGTGGCTCCAAAACAGACTCTGCCTCTGCATGGGAACAGCATGTAGGTGCCGCCTGAATCTTGCCCGTGCGTCGTATGGAATGACCGCGACGACAGCGTCGCCTGCCCAGCGTCATGGCCGGATAGAGGGAGTCGCGCTGGCAGCAGGGCTTCATCTCTGGCTCATTGGTGTCCTCGATCTCATCGCCCTCCTCCTCGCCAATGGCCTCCTCAATGGCCATTAGTTTCGGCGCCGATTTCGATCGCTCCAACGGAGGCCTATAATTGTTGCCGCCCACGCTCAGCATGATCTTGCGCCGGGGCAAACTGGGATTGTCGTAGACAGCGTTGGCCAGACTTAGACGAGCATTCTGTTTCAGAATCTTCTCACGCTTAAATTCACGCAATGCACTCTCCAGATTATCCTGAAAGACAAAGAGTGGAGCATGTCAGTCGAAATGGGCAGATTGAGGATTTATCTAGCACTTACCCGTAACGTTTCGCATATGTCCTGGGCAATCTTCTCCTTGCTGCAGAGCACCGCATGGCAGCGCAGCTCGTGCTTCAGCTTACGGCCCTCATGCCTGTAGATCCAGCAGAAGACACGCGGATAATTCTTGGGCGCACAGCAGTATGTGATCCGATTCGACCAGTACTCTGTGAGGCCGTGTTGACGTGTTGTCGCCTTCAATCCGGAAGCGCACACCTTGACGCGCATTATGACATCCGGCTTGGTGTGCTGGGTGTAGTTACGCCACAGTGTGTTCAGTTGCTTCTCCACACAACCCTCGCCTGCGCAATACAAATGTGAATGGAAAGAGTGAGTAAAAGGAAATAAATTGTGATAGGAATTCACTCAGAAAAATTTCAAACAGAAATAATTTCTAAATATAAAAAATTCAATTAAATAAACGTAGAAATGCAAATCCAAACTAATTAAAAATTCTTCCAAAAATGTAGATTGAAGTAATGCAATTTCCTAGATCGGCTTTTATATAAATTAATGCAATTTTCTACAATGAATTATATCGTTCTTTCTCATTTTTATGCTCAAAATACAAATTTCATTTAAATTTAAAGAATTAATCAAATTAGAAAATATTTGTAGAAGCCAGATAAACTTTCTCTTGATTTTTTATTTTACTTGGATTATCTTAAAGTCAAGTTGATTATTTGTTTAATCAAAGTGAAACTTACCCTTGGCCCAGCCGGTGAGCACATTGCCCAGATAGGACACCTTGTATTCGGGATCCGGTGTGCTAATGTCCACGCTGTGGCTGCGCTTCCACCAGAGCTTGCCGAGACCCCGGGTCAAAGTGCGCATTGCCTTGCTGCTCAGCTGATCCTCGTCGCGGCGTCCCACATGCTCTTGCCGACTGCCATACTGCAGATCCCGTGAGTCTGTCGTCAGCGTGACTACATTGGTCACCTGCACCTGCAAATCATCGACGCCGTTATCGCCTGCTATATCGCCATCTTCTTTGGACATGCGCTTGAAACGCTCCAGATACGGGCCCGATCCCCGCCGGCGTCCATTGTACGTGTGAAACTTGCCGCTTGCCTCGTTGGCCAGTCGCTTCTGTTCTTGCCTCTCAAACTTGCGGGCATTGTACGTGTTGCCCAGCAACCGGGCAATGCTGCTGCTCTTCACAAATTTGTGTTGTCTCGGCGGCGTGCCAATTGGCACTGGCGGCAGACTACAGGACAAGGGTGCAGGCGACGGGGTGGGTGCGGGCGTGGATGTGGGTGTGGTTGTGGCAACTTGAACTGCGCCACTTGCAGTTTGTTGTGACTTGCTGCTCGCATTTTGTTTTTTACTACCGAAATGGAAGAGTGTGCGGCGTTCCTTGGATTTCTTCAAAGTGTTGTTGTTTGTGTTGGTGACATTTGGTTCATTGTTTGGTGTGACTGTTGCTGTTGTTGTGGTTGCTGTTGCTGCTTGTTGTGTTGTGTTTGATCCTTTGGCGCTGATTACTGCGACACCGACGCTGCTTAAATCTCCATAATCGTTGTTGTTGTTGTGCGTGGCAGATATAAAGTCAACTTCATCTCGACTTTCCATCAACTCTGATGGATTCGTCATCGCTTTGCTGTTGCTGTTATTGTTGTTGTGGTTGGCTGCCATTATGTGTGCGTCGCTGTTGTTTGTCTTGTAATTGTGCTGCTGCTCAATATCCGTTAGATTGTGACATGTTACAGAGCTGTAATTAAAAGAGAGAAGCACAAAAATGAAAATGAAATCTACTTTGGCTTCCGTTTTATTTTACTTAGAAATATCTTTTCTCATATTATAACATAACATATAATCTTAGACTAGGGATTTGTTATAAATTATAAAAAATCTAACTTTGCTCGTGATTATTATATTTATTAGATTTGATTTGAGTATTTTGAATATAATAAATTATTAAGTGTAGGAGAGGGTTTTAAGCAATTTATTAGTTTTGATTTCAGTTTTTTAAATGTAATAAATTATTAGCAATTAGACAGTTTGTATAAAGCGACCAATTTTTAGTAACCACCGATAAGAAAGCTTTTCCTGTCACACCACTTTCACACTGTTCAATTACTGCCTTTTTCTATATGTAAGTTTTCTTTCAAAGAATTTGTCACATTAAATAGTTAATAAATTAAGATTTGTTAAATCGACTTTGCTTTTTTTATATCGGATGAGATTTCGAATATATAAAACACATATTTACACCCATATTTTAATGTTACACAATTTAATTTGTAACTTTAATTTTAATTTTAAACTTTATTGACCACTTTTAATCTCAAATTTATTTTTCTTTCAATTAGTGCACTTTTTCAATTTGCAGTACATAAATAAATATATGAAGATATTTTAATTAACAAAAATTCCCATTCCACACGCAAAACTACTATTATATTGTGAACATTTAAGTAGTTAAATTTATATAACTCTAAAATCAATTAATTGGTGAGGAATATTCGACACTTTCAATTATTTGTTGAGTCTGCCTGTCTGCCTGTCAGTCAGTCATTATGCCCTTTACTAATTGGCTACTTTCGCTGCGCCTTTCGGGTCTGTTAAATAACTGCAATTAATAAAAAAAGAGTGAATATTTTTTTGGTGGTTTGTTTGCGACAAGTGTCAACCTTATTACATTGAGTAATTACCTCATAATTATCACCTAAAACACATGTAACACCTGTAAAACAATTGTGGATGTTTTTGCATTTTTCATTTGGCTTGTGTCTTTACAGCCCCAACCGAACGAGTTCGGATGTAATGGATTGTTACGAGTCTACAATATGCAAATATTTTCGCTATTACTGCAATGGGACAGTTAATTTCTTTGTTGTTTGAATTGTCGTGCGACTTTTGTGTGTTCCAATTGGCTTTATTGTTTTATTATCTGTTTTTAGTAGTTGTTTCTGTTTTTGTTTTTCACATTATTTGGATAATAATTGCCGTTTAAAAGCATTTAAAGGCGAAACTATCAAAACCATTAGCCAAGAATATTAAATTCATAATTATATTTCGACGTAGTTGCTAGCTAATTTTGTGCTGTTTTATTGTCTTCATTTTAATTTCATTTTTTAACTTTTTATAATTGAGAGGTAATTGTCTGTGGCGGTAGCTTTACCAAATGGAAGTCAAATTAAAATGGTTTTGTGTGACTAAATTGCAATTTGAATAATTGCATTTAAAAACCCCAATTGTTACACATTTGCCAACATATTGGGTTAATATTACGCCGGAAACAGACCACTCGTCTAGCTAAGTCTATAAGCTGGCGAAGATAACGTACCAAAAATAAGTGAATCGTTAAGTTGTTAATAATGCCTGAACTAATCACCATTCGACTTAAATTTAGCATATCTGATTCGACACGTTTCTCGATTATGATCCGATCAAGCCACATTTGAAGTGCGCCAATAGTAGAATTCTTATTAACAACTCACTCACAACTCATGTGACTGCAATCAGTCCTTGTGGTATCAGCACTTGAGCCTGTTTGGCAAGCGTTGGTCATCACCACAAATAATTTACTAATCTTTAAGTGACACCCAAATCTTAATTTTTATGCCTTAGTTATCTAATCATTACTCTCAACAACGCACTGATTTTTTAAAAACCCTGACCGCATTCAAAAGTGCTAAAACGGGTATATTATTTTACAGGCAGCATATTGCTAATAGCCATGTTCGTCTGTATGAACATGCAGTTCCGAGACAATATAAAATGTTTTGAATATAAGTCTCGTATACCCCGCGCAGATTAAGCTTATTTAATTTTATCGTTGCTTTGAGTGTGCAAAACTTTTAAAGGAAATTTCGCATTAAAGCTAGAATATATTAAATAGTTGGATTCAGGGTATCTCATAGTCGAGCCCAATCGAGTATTGTTATTTTTATTAAATTTCATTAGTTATAAATAAAATGGTTTTTGGACATTATTATGTTATTAATCTATAAATTCAAAACGGAGCTAAGAATGAAGAATTCTTGCATTGGTTGCCAGTCGCTTTCTTGTCTGGTTTATCTACAAGTACTATTTGCCGACTACAAAGACAAAACCACAATTGTCTTGCTACAAAGTTGTTTATGGTAATGCAACGACCTTGAAGTTGTGCAGGTGCTGACAAAGTCGATAAAGTTTTACGATATTTGCCTAAAGGTTTGCATGGCTGCTTTCACTTTTGCCATAAAAGCCTGACCAAACAGACTGCAAGCAAATGTCAGCGGTGCGGGCGGCCCACTCATTCGGAGACAACCATGTATATATATAAAAAACCTATCTGAGAAAGCCCAGTAGTCGAGGCCTAAAACCAAAACCAGAGACAAACCCGAGCTCAAACCCCCAGGCCATTGACATCGTCGCGCAGTTTTCACTCCACAGGAAAAAAAATATGTAGAGGTAAAAAAACAAAAAAAAAATAAATAAAAAATACACACTGATGATGGCGATGATGAAAAGAAGAAGCAAAGAAAGCGCGCTGAATTTGTAAGAAGAGTTAAACAAAAGTAAGTAATTGTTTTCTTTGAGACGCCCCTAGCCCATTATCATTTATGGCTGCCGCTTTTGTTGTGGAGTTGATTTCCTTGTCTGTCTGCCCTTAGTCCATAATTGCAAATCTTTTATATAATTATTTATTTATTTTGTGCGTGATCGTGCATTTTGAATAGCACAGCGCAAATGACATTAAATTAACGAAGCTAACTAAGTAACAATATAAATGCAAAAATAAGTAAACGACACTTTTGTATTATTTGGTTTATAAGAAATGCAAAAAACGTAACGAGGAAGTGTTGCTTTGCTGCTTAAACAGCTTCAGTTTGTGTGCGTAATTTTAATTTTCAGGCGCAGCAAAAAACACAACAGGAGCGCTGTATTTGTCCACATTAAGTGCGCCCAACAGGTGGGGCACAATAAATACAGATGCTTAAAATATGCTGTTGAAGTTGACCTTCAGCCTGGCATATATTAGACACAGAACTGAATCCACTTTATATTCGGACAACAGATGTTGGTTATAAATTGTAAAAAAAAATAAATAAAAAAAATAGAAGGCTGCCAACCATTTTCGAAACTAGCAGCTAGTAGCCAAAAATGATTGATCATCATATCACATAATTTGTAAGCGCTTGGAATTTATTTGTTTGACTTGGCGTCTAAACGTATCACACACAGCGCATCAGACAATGGAACAAGCTCCAGCATTTCATCAACTAACTACTTAAAACCGAAACCAAATCCAAATCAAAAAAAAAGTTAACAAAATGGTTGTCAAGTCATTTATCAAAATGTATATATGAACAGTTTTAACAGCTAAATTTGCGTTCGCTGCTGCTTGCCAAGTGTTTCCCAGGCAGCTTAAAATGCAAAAACCGCAATTCAACAGCAACAGCAACAGCAACAACTGCAAACTTCTAGTTACATATTTGTCTAAAGTCAAGCTCCAGAGACAAACACTTGAGACTTGGCATTCTCAATGGTTAGTCAGCCTTTGTGGGTACAACAAAAATGCAATTTATTATTATGCGGCACAGAGTCGACTCCACTCTGCTCAGGTGCAACGGGGCTCGGGCTCGGAAACTGTGTCAACAGCAAATTGAAAAGTTGATTTACAATAAAGAAGAAAAACGAAAAACGAAAAAAAAAACATAATGTTTACCTGGTATAGGCCAAATTCAATTTAGCCACGGCTACGCGTGTGGCTTCAAGCCAAGTGTATTTGTGTGTGTGTGTGTGTGTGTGTATGATGTCGGTTTAAATAAATCGTTAACAACACTGAATCGCTGACCGAGACACGTCGAGAGACCTCAGGCTCAAAGCGGTGCCAAGAATGTCTCAAAATAAATAGATACAATGAAGCGCAGAATAAAAAAAATAAATAAAATTAAAAAACAAAAAAATCGAAAGAAACAATTCGGCGCGCAACTAAATTAAACGGTTTCGCAATTCGATTTTTGGGCATGTGTGTCACGCGGTGCTGTCGGCAACAAAAATGCAGCAAACACTCAAATCCGAAAACGAATAAGAAAACTAATCCGAACACGAATACATATCTGAATATCAACTTAAGGTAAGCTGCGTATGCGAGTGCAAATGAAAAAGGAAAGGAAGTTTGCCCGTGGACGTGCGAACGCATCGGAATGCATTTAATTGAATGAGTGAGCAAAATATTGTGCTGAATTAAATAAAGTATATTTGGCTTATAACAGAGATTAAATCGATATTGAGATAATGAGAGAAAAACATTGAACAAAAAATGCTAAAAACACAACAAAAATCAATTCAAATACTTCCATTAAAATATAATCGCTATGACAAAATTCATGTCATTTTCCATCAATTAACCAATATAATAATACAAATTAATTGAATGATACAGCAAACATTGAGCTGAATTAAATTAAATATTTGGTTTATAACAGAGCTAGAGTTCGAGCTTATTGCTTATAGCATTCGATATCTAGTGCAAAACAGTTGCAATCAATCCAAAAATCAAAATCAAGAAATATAGCTTTCTTCAATTAATATTCTTCATCGATAACAATTTAATCTTTGTGAAACATTCTTGTCATTATATATCCATTAATTAACCATTATAATACCCCCTGCATGGCCTTAGTTAAGTTTAGAAAAATTATAGATAATTCATTTGGGAACTACGTCAATTCAACTGCAATTAAATAAATGATTAATGCACTGAAATGGAAAAGAATATCAACTCGAAGTTAATGAAATGCTATTGCCAAACAAATTAAAAATGCATTTCCTCACACACAGATAGAGAGAGATGCTGCAGTGGAACCAATTGCTTGACTATCTATTATTTTATATCCTGCTGATAAGCTCTTTGGCCTCAAGACTTATCTCACCTGTACAATTCGCTGAAGCTCAAGTGACTTAACTTGTCAATTCCACAAATTCCGGGCAGCCATAAAAAATAATAAAGAAAGATGTAAAAAAAGAGAAACAAACGAGCGTGTTTTATTTTTTATTTATTTTTATTGACAGGAGTGAAGGCAAGCGTGGATATAATAAAAGTGCGTTTTAACAACAGCAAATTCACAGCAATTATGTGGGGTAATTTTGTACGGGTTGTGTTAAGAGTCTGACGCCCAGAACAAAACTACGTCAGAGACTCGAAAAGAACGATGCAAAATTGAGGTATAAAGGCAGCACAGATTGGCTTTAGTGCCGATCCGACATAGGTAAACAGATTTATGTTTACATTTTAATGGGGTCCAGAGGGCTCAGCGGAGGCGTCGGTGTCGGTGTCGCTGTCGGAGTTGCTTTAATGGATCCCAGTTGAACTGGCATTAAGTTCATTTTGCCTTTATACCTTTAGTTAATTGAGGTAGCAGCAGGTTTTTGAATTATTATTACTTTTTTACTTTGTACTTTTTGATGTCTGCGTAATACTGAATTTTGTGGCTTATTAAATTTCTGGCTGTTCGAGTAAAAACCTTTTTTTTTGTATTTTTTAAATTGGTTTTTGAAAGTGAATGCCTTGACATCATTTTGCCTGACTGAAGTTGAATATTAAAATTTACATTTATAAAGATATCTTTTCGCATATGCGATTTGAATCGAAGTTACTCTATTTATGGCATATCAATTGTTTAAAATCGCTGGCCACAAACTTTATTAAAATGCTAAACAACACGGACGTGAGCAGAATTTATGTTCAGACAAATAAAAAAGTTTGATGGTCTTTATGATATCCTGCAGCTGATATCGCATTAAAATAATAATAGGTATATATGACCGTTTTAAAAGTACACAGCATTCTGAAAAGGCAAACGTGAGTCGCTCGAAATGGCATCAAACATCAATATAAATATAAATATTTATGCATGAAAATAGCAATGTAAACAGTCCAATACAATAAACAAACAAAAATGTCCCGCAAAAATAAACTAAGTATATATTAATTTACGTGTAAATAATGAAAATGGCGAAAGTTAAGCCGAAATGTTTGTCGTTTTGGCTAATTATTTGACATTTTCAGTTATCTGTCTGTGTGTGTGTCAGTTATCTTGACGTGGTTGCGTTTATCATAGCAAAGATTCGCATATAAATTTCATCTGTCTTATTGTACAAATCATTTCTCAACTACAACAATGGAGCACTTGCAGGCGTGCCAAATGACGAGTTTCACCAGCTCAAAAGCGAATTCAACAAAAAATTTGTCAGAATTGCTTGGCAAGGAGAGTAGTCGACCATGAGATGCTCTGTGAATAGGTACAAATATTAATCTAGCTAAAAATACTCTTCAAATGTGCTTCTTCAATTCCAATGAAATATATATACGAGTATATATAAAGTCTGCAAAAATTACTATCAAATTTTTGAGTGCAATAAGATTCAACAATAAAATCCAATAAGTATTTTTTCAACATAATTCAATATTTACACACATATTTTACACATATTAAAGTTATTTATTTATTGTTCATAGCATCGCAAATGCCTCATTTTTGTTACCTTTTTTATGGCCAGAGGTAGGTGCAAAAAGTAGCATGGCAAATTGTTTGTCATGCGGCTTGAAAGGGTTTGTTTGCGAATTGCACGGCTAAATTTATTAGCGAAAAATGTTACTAAGGGGGTTAATGGTGCAATAACAAAATGCAAAGCATACGAGTACGTATTTTATGTGTTTTGTATTGCAACCACAACAACAACAAAAGCAGCAGCAACCGCATCGCATCATCAACACAAGCAGTTGCAACAACAGCAGCAACAGGTACAGCTGAACACGACTGCGAAAGACTCTGGTGACAGTCAAATACCACCGAAAAACTGATGGCAAATATCCATCTTGTGGGGTAGGGGATGGGCGTGTTTTGACCAATGAGAACGCAGACATTAATAAATAATTAATATTTTCCGGTTACTCCAGCTCCAAGATTGTGGGATATATAGGTTTGAGTAATTTATGAGAGCAAAATCGTGACATTCTAGCAATCTACACAATCTCAAATTTGGTAAGCGTGACTATAAAACTATGCGAGATTCCTTAAATGCTGATCTATGAAGGACTCGCCAGCAAACTACCTTCCAATTTTAATAATTCTAGCTTTAATATTGTGCGAGGTAAGAGGCCTTATCGATTTACAATTAAAACCACTTCAAGGGTGGCCAAAGAAGTGAATATAGACAGACAGCATAAGCAAAACTAATATGCTCTACAACCTTCAGTATCAGAGTATAAAAATAACAGATGAGATGCACCAGGAAGCTGTTAATGTTTCATTTTACTTGTGGCTCATACATCATGGTGATTGTTGTTGTTGCAGTTGTTGTTGCAGTTGTTGGTGCAAGCACCTTACAGTTGAGTGCAATTGTTGCCGAATGATCATTGAAATTTTGCAAATTAAAATTACTTTATATGGATTATAATTGAGTTTGCAGTAGATTTTCAATTTGAATTTTAATTAAGTTCAACAGCTGCCGGCGGCGGTAAAAGTTAAGCCTCAATCATCGGCTTATATTACTATGAAAGTGTATGTGTGTGTGAGTGTGTGTCTGTGTACGAGAAAGTGTGTGTTCCTCGACACAGCTTTTTGGCTAATCTCACAAAGAGATGCGAGTTACGAACTGCTCTGCTTCCTAGCCAAAAATCAACAAATATTTACATATACGATTCGCAAGTGATTCCAGCTAAATTGTGACTTGCACTAATTTAACACAACATTTTTTTATCACCCAAATACTTGTCGAATACTTATAATTAAGCGGGCCTTCCCCACAAGAGTCGCAGCTGTTTTAATCTTAATCGTGATTGGTTTACCAACCGTGTTTGGACTTGAAACAAAAACACACGATTAACAAAAAAAATGTGCGTGTGTTAGGTATTTGGCCAATTACGCATTGGCCAAGTCACTTGGTCTGCACATGGACACGTCCATTGCTGTTTTGGCATTCAGATCACGCGATTGTCTAATGATAAATGGCATAAATGAATATGCCAAGACCAAAACCGATACTGACAACGCCAACGACACCGACCTGATACCTGAGGCCAGTTTTATTTTAATTTTTTTTATATTTTTAGCGGCAATTGAGGCAAATGTTTAATTATTTAGTGCACAACTGCTAAGAGGCGACTAATTGAACGCTTTAAATTGGCACACGGCGCGCGTTAAAGAAATGGAATATACTAAACAAAAGTTATAAATATCACTTGCACAAAATAAATGCTTAGCTCACTGGAAACGTTAATTAGACACTCAAATCACAGGCAACAAACAAAGAGGAGGCTGAGTCGGATTGATGCGCCATTTACTGGATAGTGTATATAGATGCCATATGAAAATAAATTGATATTCTGTATGTCTCTAATGCCCGATTAAATAACACATCACGTTTGCTAGGAAGAGCTGCACAAAAATACAAACTCACACACACACGCACACACACACATTTATACATATGTGATTATGTGTGTATATAATATTCATTAGTGCCTTAATTAATTGCAAATTATCACGCTATTTTATTACAACTAAAAAAAAGGCAAACTGGTTGCATGTCCGTTCACTAATCGCTTAAGCAACTGACACTTATCGGATATATCTGAAATGGATATGAAAGTGGCGAAAGAATCTCTGGAATGGTGGCCAAATGCTTGTTGAGGTGTGGCTATTGTTTTTAGCACGGTTGTCCATTGATGATATCATTAGTGAACACCCTTGCTTATAGGGTTGTCATCATTATTATTTTTAGATAATTAGTAAACAGCAAGCTGTTGTTGCTGATGTAAATTCTTCGCTTTAAAACAAACAAAAGCCGTCAACAGATTAATAGAATTACTATCTATAAATAATTAAATTGTTGAACAAAATTAATTTTGAGTTAAGACGAATAAATAATACATTTGTCATTATTCAAAATTACTCAATAAAAATATTTAATAAATTGTAAAACTAAAACGTCATTTTCTGAAATGAAAAAATCGCAGAGCTGTCATATTCTTTTTTACGGACTTTTCCGCGCGCAATTATATATTTATAATCATTTTACTTTATTTGCATATATTTACAAACATCTACTAAAAAATTTAAAAAATGATTCATACAATTTTAGCTAGTATTAAAAATTATTCAATAAAAATATTTTTAATAAACTGTTAAACTAAAACGTAATTTCCTGAGCTACGAAATG